GAGAATAACATTCAAAGTAACTTTAAGTACACTGAGGACACATTGTTCTGTTGTATTATAGATTACACTCAAATCAATACTTCTTCTCTTGTTTTTATTTACATATTTGGTGTTGAGGTAATCTAAAAGTTACAAAGGAAATCAAGTTACTTAATGTTGTTACACTCAGATTTATGTCATTTATTTTTTCAGAGAGTATTGGTTGCAATAATAATAAATATAATAATAATTATATATGAGGATTGTGTGTTCCTGTACTGTCAATATTAATTATAGTCAACCCAATAACATAACAGAGTAAAATGATAATAAATGCAAACAACAACAAGAAAATCATACAAATATAATAAATCATATTTAGTTTTCTGTCAGCTTTTATATATTTTATATATATTTATTTTGAAGCTCCTGTGACTCCAGTGAATCAACATTTGTGTGTAATAATCAGTTATTATGATTTTAGATCAAAAATAAATAGCATATAAAATCAGAACAATATTTATATATATGTATAATTATTTGTGCTTTTATATACATATTACAGTATTTGCATAAAGAACAAGAATAGAGACAAAAGCAATATTGTTCTAATATCTCTGATTAAAGATAAAGGTTTTCTCAAAAGTTCTCTCAAAGGGAGCATAAATTGCATTTTTTTTTCTTTTATACAACAAAACATTTATCGTCTCTCAATTACCAAAAATAAAATCTACAAGGCTTTGTTAAAAATTATAATAATAATAAAAAGAATTTTAAAAAAGATATGATTATATAAGATTAAAACAAAAAAATAAAACAAATACAGCAAGGCAAAAACCAAAAACAATTAAATGCAAGATTACAAATCAAGGCATCCTGTCTAATTGAGACTCCTCTATACCCGCCACTCTGCACCGCACAGCAGCCTCTATCAGCCCACCAATTCCTTCATATTCATCTGCCAGTAAACCAAAGGCATCCAAGTACTTGTTCAATATCTAAAAACACACCAGTGACGGTGATCTACCTTTCCATTTACAAATGTGTATGTGATATTTGCCTAAAACTATAATTATATTGATTAGATCAGACATTTTTTGGGGGACATTTACATTGTATACCAACATTTGATCCTTATTAAAGGGTGTGATGTTATCTGTTTTACTTTTTAACCAGTCATACATGGATTGCCAAAACTGGGTCACTACCAGACATGAACGACAGAAGCCACATGGCTCCACCTCCAAACCAAATCTTCTTTTTAATGTGTCTGCAGCTGGATAATAACCATTGATCATTTTAAATTGTAATTCTTTTGCTTTTGGGGAGATTGGCCATTTCATATATTTAACATGCTTGTTTTAATATTTATAGCTCTTGTAAGATCATGAAAAATAATTTCTTTAAACTTATTTCATATGACTTTATTGCTGCATTTTTTATTTCCAGTTTGGATTTGTCCAATATCTGGTAAGATTATCCTTACTTCTGAATGTGAAAGTGTGTTTTGAATTTCCTGGATTAAGGGAGCTGGTATTGCATGACATATTTGACTGTATATTCTATAAAAGAACTGTATATCAAATTTTATTTTGAAGGAATCAAGTTTCATGATTGACCCTTGATTATCCATCAGGTCAGCTACAAATATTATTTTCTTGTCATACCAACTTTGTGTAAATAGAGTTTTCTATTTATTGTGGTTGTTCTGTTATTCCATAAGGTGGAGCCATGTGGGATAAAATTATGTGTAAATAACATTTAGTAGTGTAATACTTTCAGATATTCAGATTACACAATTTGGTAATTTCATAATCACATTTTAACAAAAAATCCAAACCTCCCACTTTTTTAAATATATTTTTGGGGATATAAAACCATATGGATTCAGTTTGTGACTGAACATTCCTATCATTGATTGAAGTCTAATGGATTTAATCCTCATTAATGGATTTAATCCTCATTAATTAATGGATTTAATCCTCATTGATTCCAAGTCTAATGGATTTAATCCTCATTAATGGATTTAATCCTCATTAACGGATTTAATCCTCATTAATGGATTTAATCCTCATTAATTAATGGATTTAATCCTCATTAATTAATGGATTTAATCCTCATTAACGGATTTAATCCTCATTAACAGATTTAATCCTCATTAATTAATGGATTTAATCCTCATTAATTAATGGATTTAATCCTTTAACCTATTAATTATGGATTTAATCCTCATTAATTAATGGATTTAAGTCTCATTAATGGATTTAATCCTCAATGGATTTAATCCTCATTAATTAATGGATTTAATCCTCATTAATGGATTTAATCCTCATTAATGGATTTAAGTCTCATTAATGGATTTAATCCTCAATGGATTTAATCCTCATTAATTAATGGATTTAATCCTCATTAATGGATTTAATCCTCATTGATGGATTTAATCCTCATTAATGGATTTAATCCTCATTAACGGATTTAATCCTCATTGATGGATTTAATCCTCATTGATGGATTTAATCCTCATTGATGGATTTAATCCTCATTAACAGATTTAATCCTCATTGATGGATTTAATCCTCATTGATGGATTTAATCCTCATTAATTAATGGATTTAATCATTATTAATGGATTTAATCCTCATTAACAGATTTAATCCTCATTAACAGATTTAATCCTCATTGATGGATTTAATCCTCATTAACAGATTTAATCCTCATTGATGGATTTAATCCTCATTGATGGATTTAATCCTCATTGATGGATTTAATCCTCATTAACGGATTTAATCCTCATTGATGGATTTAATCCTCATTAAAAGATTTAATCCTCATTGATGGATTTAATCCTCATTGATGGATTAATCCATTAATGGTTAATCCTCATTAACAGATTTAATCCTCATTGATGGATTTAATCCTCATTGATGGATTTAATCCTCATTAACGGATTTAATCCTCATTGATGGATTTAATCCTCATTAACAGATTTAATCCTCATTGATGGATTTAATCCTCATTAATTAATGGATTTAATCCTCATTAACAGATTTAATCCTCATTGATGGATTTAATCCTCATTGATGGATTTAATCCTCATTAACGGATTTAATCCTCATTGATGGATTTAATCCTCATTGATGGATTTAATCCTCATTAACAGATTTAATCCTCATTGATGGATTTAATCCTCATTAATTAATGGATTTAATCCTCATTAACAGATTTAATCCTCATTGATGGATTTAATCCTCATTAATGGATTTAATCCTCATTGATGGATTTAATCCTCATTAACAGATTTAATCCTCATTGATGGATTTAATCCTCATTGATGGATTTAATCCTCATTAACGGATTTAATCCTCATTGATGGATTTAATCCTCATTAACAGATTTAATCCTCATTGATGGATTTAATCCTCATTAATTAATGGATTTAATCCTCATTAACAGATTTAATCCTCATTGATGGATTTAATCCTCATTGATGGATTTAATCCTCATTGATGGATTTAATCCTCATTGATGGATTTAATCCTCATTAACAGATTTAATCCTCATTGATGGATTTAATCCTCATTAACAGATTTAATCCTCATTGATGGATTTAATCCTCATTGATGGATTTAATCCTCATTGATGGATTTAATCCTCATTAACGGATTTAATCCTCATTGATGGATTTAATCCTCATTAACAGATTTAATCCTCATTGATGGATTTAATCCTCATTGATGGATTTAATCCTCATTAATGGATTTAATCCTCATTAACAGATTTAATCCTCATTGATGGATTTAATCCTCATTGATGGATTTAATCCTCATTAACGGATTTAATCCTCATTGATGGATTTAATCCTCATTAACAGATTTAATCCTCATTGATGGATTTAATCCTCATTAATTAATGGATTTAATCCTCATTAACAGATTTAATCCTCATTGATGGATTTAATCCTCATTGATGGATTTAATCCTCATTGATGGATTTAATCCTCATTGATGGATTTAATCCTCATTGATGGATTTAATCCTCATTAACAGATTTAATCCTCATTGATGGATTTAATCCTCATTAATGGATTTAATCCTCATTAACAGATTTAATCCTCATTGATGGATTTAATCCTCATTGATGGATTTAATCCTCATTAACAGATTTAATCCTCATTAATGGATTTAATCCTCATTGATGGATTTAATCCTCATTAATTAATGGATTTAATCCTCATTGATGGATTTAATCCTCATTGATGGATTTAATCCTCATTGATGGATTTAATCCTCATTAACAGATTTAATCCTCATTAATGGATTTAATCCTCATTGATGGATTTAATCCTCATTAACGGATTTAATCCTCATTGATGGATTTAATCCTCATTAACAGATTTAATCCTCATTGATGGATTTAATCCTCATTAATTAATGGATTTAATCCTCATTAACAGATTTAATCCTCATTAATGGATTTAATCCTCATTGATGGATTTAATCCTCATTAACAGATTTAATCCTCATTAATGGATTTAATCCTCATTGATGGATTTAATCCTCATTAATAGATTTAATCCTCATTGATGGATTTAATCCTCATTAACAGATTTAATCCTCATTAATGGATTTAATCCTCATTGATGGATTTAATCCTTCCTTGCTTACAGTTCTGACTAATTGTGACTTTTATATATCTATCTATATATATATATATCTATATATATCTATCTATATATATATATATATATATATATATATATATATATATAATTGAGTATGCTTTGTTGATGTTTTGAAGAGCAACAGATAAAGACTGCATGGCTGAAGCAGCTTTGGACAGAAGATCTCTAGTTAGCCGATGATTTAATGATTTAATGTAAATTATTACTTTCCCTTAGTTTGTTATCTTTGATTATACTGAAACCCAAGTAGATAAAAGATAAAGGTGATGAACTCTTCAACACATTGTCCTCCTCTTCCTCTTTCAGCCGCTCCCTCCGCCATCTTGCTTCCGGTGTGTCTGCGCAGCGCTGAGTCAGCTGAACCAACCCGGAAGGAAAACAAACTGCAGAGCGCAGACGCAGCAGCAGCCTGAGCTCGCGCAACGGACCCACAAACAAACTGGATTTTGAAATAACTTTTATTTTTGTTTTTGTTTGTGTTGTTTTCGCGGGAAGTCACACGTCTACGTCACCGGACAGGTGTAAACAGCACGAGCCCCACCGGAGCGCGAGAGGCTGCAACGGGGTGACCAACGCGGAAGTTCAGGACGGAAGGAAGGTCTGAATTTAAGATTAAAATATTCAAGTTTTATTAATTTTCTCTTCACAACCGTTGGTTGTACAGGAGCCGTTCTTTGCTCAATCAATAGAACAATATTTACAAAATATTTAGTATTTGTAACTTTTATTAAAAACCTAATTAAAGACCCATAAATCCTCACAATAATGACTGTACAAGTGTTGAAACAGTGAGACAGATGATGGAAACGGTGTTAAAATAAAGATGGAACTGATGTCAGAGACTTTTATTCAGTGTTTTACCTATAAAATATTTCAATAAAACAATAAAAGAGTTCAGAGGATAATAATAATGATAATAATGTAGGAGAATTTCATTATGACCCCTCCTGTTTAGGGTACCATTGGAAGGGTGAGAGGTCACCAAGACTTGAGCCAGGTCACCATGAGCTAGAACAGAGCCAGGTCATATAATAATAATAATAATGATAATAATAATATTCACACATCATCACATACAGGAGACACATTCAGGGTTTGTAGAAGAGGTTTAAAGACCTCCACCTGGAGTCCTGATCAGAGTCTCGCTGCCATAACAATTTCACATTAGAGGACTCACCACTTACTGAATAGTTTGTTAGTTTATAAAATTGTGAGGCCGTGCAGCGTTCCTGTGGCACATTCAGATATTCCAAAATATCATTTTCTGAACAATTACCAATTCCAGATTTTACACAGTCCCTGATTTGTAAGTATTTCCAGAAATGTTGTTTGCCTACGGGTTTAAATTGACACGATAATTCCTCATAAGACACGAATTGTCCATTTTTGTACAGGTCTCCTATAGTACATGCACCACTTGAACGCCACTGCCTCCAATACACTGACGTATTACCAATATGTATGTCAGGATTACACCACAATGAAGCATATATCTGTACATATTGCAACATCTGATACATTTTGTGTACCTTGGCCCACACTTCCTTAGAGTGAACAAGAATTGGATTTATTGTATTACTTTGTTGAGACAGTTGCTCCTTTGGACTAAATGGTAAACATTCTCAATCTCCATCCAATCTATCTTGTTGTCTGTCGTTTTCCAATATTTGGCTAGTTTAGCCATTTCAAAAGATTCAATTCAATTCAACTCAATTTTATTTGTATAGCGCCAATTCATAACAGAAGTTATCTCAGGACACTTTTCAAATAGAGCAGGTCTAGACCGAACTCTTTAAAACATTTTAAGATATCCCATATAACCTTGGATCTGGTAAACCTAATCCCCCTTTCTCCTTGGTGGCGCAGAGTTTACTTAGTTTTATCCTTGCTCTTTTCCCATCCCATAAAAACTGTTTAACTATATCATCATACTCCTTAAAAATGGCAGGCGGTATTGTGATTGGCAGCATCGTTACTAGATAGTTAAATTGAGGAGCTACTATCATTTGAATAATATTGACTTTTCCCCACAGAGTAAGTTTTATCTTTAGCCTCTTCTCCAGATTTGTTTTAATTTTTTTCAACACCGGGTTAAAGTTTAACGAGGGTATCTCCTAGGTCTTGACTGAGTTTAATTCCAAGATACTTCATGCCCTGAGGTACCCACTTAAATTTATGTTTTTCCTCCATGTAGTGGTGGCATGTGGAAGTCATAGTCATAGCCTCGGATTTATTCCAATTAATTATGTAACCTGACAGTTTAGAGTAGGACTGAATAGTATCCATCAAATGTGGTTATCAGGGTCTGTCACTACAGCTAAAATATCATCAGCATATAGCAACAGTTTATGTTCCTGTCCTCCACCCTCTACTCCCTTTATTCTCCCATTGTTCCTGATACTAACAGCCAGTGTCTCTAGACAAATTATAAACAATAGAGGGCTCAAAGAGCAGCCTTGGCGAGTGCCTCTAGACAGGCTGAAAAGGGTGATATAAATCCATTGGTCATTACTGCTGCTTTTGGTTCTTTATATAATGTCTTTACCCATTGAGAGAAATAGGGACCGAATCCAAAATGTGACCAAGTGGAAAAGAGAAAGCTCCATCCCACCTCATCAAAGGCCTTTTCAGCATCTAGGGAAATAGCAGCTGAGGATCTGTTCTTCATAAAGCCTGCTTGGTTGGGATGTATAATATTGGGTAAAACTTGTTGAAGCCAGCACTTTTGTCAGTATTTTAAAGTCCAGATTGAGCAGGCTAATAGGTCTAAAATTAGATGGGTCTGTTATATCTCTGTCTTTCTTTGGAATCAGAGATATAAAAGCTTCATTAAAAGATGGCGACATGTGGCCTCCTGATACACCTTCACCAAGACTGGGGCAAGAATGTCCTCATGTACTCCTTATAATTATATTGATCGAGACAGACGACCACCCACCTAGAGCCGGAGGACCTGTCCTATTCAATTCAATTCAATTCAATTTTATTTGTATAGCGCCAATTCATAACAGAAGTTATCTCAGGACACTTTTCAAATAGAGCAGGTATAGACCGAACTCTTTAACATTAATTACAGAGACCCAACAGTACCACCATGAGAAAGCACTTGGCGACAAGGGCAAGGAAAAACTGCCTGTTAAAAGGCAGAAACCTAGGACAGATCCTCCGGCTCTAGGTGGGTGGTCGTCTGTCTCGACCAGTTGGGGTGAGAGAGAGAGAGAGAGAGAGACAGAGAGAGACAGACAGACAGACAGGTGCACAGCAACAACAGTTCCTAGGTTTCTGCCTTTTAACAGGCAATTTTTCCTTGCCCTTGTCGCCAAGGTCTTGCTCATGGTGGTACTGTTGGGTCTCTGTAAATAATGTTTTAAAGAGTTCGGTCTATGTATAGCCGCATGTCGTCATTCCACCGCTGGCTGTCGAGGTGGTGTCCAGCAAACAAACGATGTGGGCTTCATTGATAACTGGAAGCCTTTTTGGGGAAAACCTGGTCTGATTAGGAGAGACGGCATCCATCCCACTTTGGATGGAGCGGCTCTCTTATCTAGAAATATGGCGAAGTTTATCTCTAAAACCTGACAGTCCAGAGTTGGGACCAGGAAGCAGAGCTGCTGTCTTACACACTTCTCTGCGCTTTCTTTAGAACAGTCACCCACCCAAAACCTCATAGAGACTGTGTCTGTCCCCCGACCACCTAAACTATTTAAAGAAATAAAAACAAGAGGAGTTCAACATAAAAATCTAATAAAAATTAAAACCAACTCCTCAGTAGCACAAAATAAGAGAATGAAATGTGGGCTGTTAAATATCAGGTCTCTGTCCTCTAAAGCTGTTTTAGTGAATGAATTAATATCAGATTATGATATTGATTTACTTTGTCTTACTGAGACCTGGTTGTCCCACGAGGAGTATGTTAGCCTAAATGAATCCACCCCCCCAGTCATATTAATACTCACATTCCTCGAGGCACTGGCCGAGGAGGTGGAGTGGCAGCCATATATGATTCGAGCGTTTTAATGGACCCTAAACCTAAACTAAATTATAATTCATTTGAAAGCCTTGTTCTTAGTCTTTCTCACCCAAACTGGAAAACACTGCAGCCAGTTCTATTTGTTATAGTGTACCGTGCTCCTGGACCGTACTCTGATTTTATATCTGAATTTTCAGAGTTTCTATCAAGCTTAGTCCTTAAATCAGATAAAGTAATTATTGTAGGTGATTTTAATATTCATGTGGATGTTGACAATGACAGCCTTAGTAATGCATTTATATCATTAATAGACTCAATTGGCTTCTGTCAGAGTGTAAATAAACCAACTCATTGTTTTAATCACACTCTTGACCTTGTTTTATCCTATGGCATTGATATTGAACATTTAATAGTCTTCCCACATAATCCTTTCCTATCTGACCATTATTTAGTAACTTTTGAATTCATACTATTAGATTATAAGCCATTAGGCAAAACTTCCTACAGCAGATGTCTATCTGACAGTGCTGTAGCTAAATTTAAGGAGGAGATTCCTTCAGTGTTTAATTCAATGCCATGTCTGAATTTAACAGAGTCCTATAACAACTTTAGTCCCTCTGAAATTGATAATCTTGTCGATAGTGCTACAGGCTCACTACGATCAACATTAGACTCTATCGCTCCTATAAAAAGGAAATTATTAAAACATAGGAGACTAGCACCTTGGTATAACCACCAAACCCGCCAGTTAAAGCAAATAGCTAGAAAATCTGAAAGGAAATGGCGCTCTTCCAAATTATCAGAATATCGCTCAAATTGGCAAGATGATCTTAAGATTTATTCAATTTTTCAATTTTATTTGTATAGCGCCAATTCATAACAGAAGTTATCTCAGGACACTTTTCAAATAGAGCAGGTCTAGACCGAACTCTTTAACATTAATTACAGAGACCCAACAGTACCACCATGAGCAAGCACTTGGCAACAAGGGCAAGGAAAAACTGCCTGTTAAAAGGCAGAAACCTAGGACAGATCCTCCGGCTCTAGGTGGGTGGTCGTCTGTCTCGACCAGTTGGGGTGAGAGAGAGAGAGAGAGAGAGAGAGAGAGAGAGAGAGAGAGAGCGACAGGCAGACAGACAGGTGCACAGCAACAACAGTATTGGCAATGGCAGTCAAGCAGGACCATGGCAGGAGGCTCCACCAGGATCCATGAGAACCTGCGAGACGAGAAAGCACAAGAACTCCGGGGAAGAAGTGGAGTTAGTAGCATGCATTAAAGGGACATGAATGAGTGCAGAAAGAGAGAGGAAGAGAGTAGCTCAGTGCACCATGGGAAATCCCCCGATAGTCTAGGCCTATAGCAGCATAACTAAGGGATGGTTCAGGACTCACCTTTATAGAAAGGCCCTCCGTAATGCCAGAGGAGCCTATTACTCAGCACTAATAGAAGAAAATAAGAACAACCCTAGGTTCCTCTTCAGCACTGTAGCCAGGCTGACAGAGAGTCACAGCTCTATCGAGCCACATATCCCCATAAACTTAAGTAGCAATGACTTCATGAGCTTCTTCTATAATAAAATTATTACTATTAGAGAAAAAATTAATCACCAACTGCCATCAACAGTTATCAGTGGCTCTCCAAGTTCAGGGACTTCTGTCAATGTAAACTTAGATGTATATTTAGACTGTTTTTCTGCTATCGATCTTCATCAGTTAACTTCAATCATTTCTTCATCGAAGCCATCAACCTGTCTGTTAGACCCGATCCCAACTAGGCTGCTTAAAGAAGTTGTTCCCTTAATTGGCACTTCTTTACTGGATATGATTAATCTTTCTTTATTATCAGGATATGTACCACAGTCCTTTAAAGTAGCTGTAATTAAACCCCTTCTTAAAAAGTCCACTCTTGACCCAGGGGTTTTAGCCAACTATAGACCGATTTCTAACCTCCCGTTCCTCTCTAAGATTCTGGAGAAAGTAGTCGCCAAAGAGTTGTGTGACTTTCTACATAACAATAGTTTATTTGAGGATTTTCAGTCAGGATTTAGAGCTCATCATAGCACAGAGACAGCTCTGGTTAAAGTTAATAATGACCTTCTGACTGCTTCTGACAATGGACTTGTCTCTGTACTTGTATTATTAGATCTTAGTGCTGCATTTGACACCATTGACCATGATATTCTTTTACAGAGACTTGAGCATCAAATTGGCATTAAAGGAACTGCCCTAACCTGGTTTAAGTCATACTTATCAGATCGTTCTCAGTTTGTACATGTTAACGATGAATCCTCCATAAATACTAAAGTTAGTCATGGAGTTCCACAAGGTTCTGTACTTGGACCAATACTATTTACTTTATATATGCTCCCTTTAGGCAACATTATTAGGAATCACTCCATTAACTTTCACTGTTATGCAGATGATACGCAGTTATATCTATCAATCAAACCCAATGAAATTAATCAATTATCTAAATTACAAACATGTCTTAAGGACATAAAATCCTGGATGACCTGCAATTTTCTGATGTTAAACTCAGAAAAAACCGAAATTCTTGTTCTTGGCCCCAAAAACCTTAGAGACTCATTGTCTAAAGATATAGTCACTCTAGATGGCATTAACTTGGCCTCTAGCACCACTGTCAGGAATCTTGGAGTTCTCTTTGATCAGGATTTGTCATTTAACTCCCACATAAAGCAGACCTCTAGGACTGCCTTCTTTCATTTACGTAATATTAGAAAAATTAGACACATACTATCACAGACAGATGCAGAAAAACTAATCCATGCATTTGTTACTTCAAGGCTGGATTACTGCAACTCTTTATTATCAGGTTGCCCCAATAAGTCCATTAAAACGCTCCAATTAATTCAGAACGCTGCAGCACGAGTACTGACAGGAACTAGAAAAAGAGATCACATCTCTCCTGTACTAGCTACTCTGCATTGGCTCCCTATAAAATGTAGAATTGAATTTAAAATACTCCTCCTCACCTATAAAGCTCTTCATGGTCAGGCCCCTTCATATCTTAAAGAGCTCATAGTACCCTATTACCCCACTAGAACACTACGTTCTCTGAATGCTGGGCTACTTGTGGTTCCTATAGTCTCTAAAAGTAGAACAGGAGCCAGAGCCTTCAGTTACCAAGCTCCTCTCCTGTGGAACCAGCTTCCAGTTGTGGTTCGGGAGGCAGACACCCTCACCACATTCAAGAGTAGGCTTAAGACATTCCTCTTTGATAAAGCTTATAGTTAGGGCTGGATCAGGTGAGTCCTGAACCATCCCTTAGTTATGCTGCTATAGGCCTAGACTATCGGGGGATTTCCCATGGTGCACTGAGCTACTCTCTTCCTCTCTCTTTCTGCACTCATTCATGTCCCTTTAATGCATGTTACTAACTCCACTTCTTCCCCGGAGTTCTTGTGCTTTCTCGTCTCGCAGGTTCTCATGGATCCTGGTGGAGCCTCCTGCCATGGTCCTGCTTGACTGCCATTGCCAATACTGTTGTTGCTGTGCACCTGTCTGTCTGTCTGTCTGTCGCTCTCTCTCTCTCTCTCTCTCTCTCTCACCCCAACTGGTCGAGACAGACGACCACCCACCTAGAGCCGGAGGATCTGTCCTAGGTTTCTGCCTTTTAACAGGCAGTGTTTCCTTGCCCTTGTCTCCAAGGTCTTGCTCATGGTGGTACTGTTGGGTCTCTGTAATTAATGTTAAAGAGTTCGGTCTAGACCTGCTCTATTTGAAAAGTGTCCTGAGATAACTTCTGTTATGAATTGGCGCTATACAAATAAAATTGAATTGAATTGAATTGAATATTATTAGTTAATATTAGTTTATATATGAGATATTAATAGTTAATATTAGTTTATATATGATATATTATTAGTTAATATTAGTTAATATATGAGATATTATTAGAGTTAATATTAGTTCATATATGATATATTATTAGTTAATATTAGTTTATATATGAGATATTATTAGTTAATATTAGTTTATATATGAGATATTATTAGTTAATATTAGTTAATATATGAGATATTATTAGAGTTAATATTAGTTCATATATGATATATTATTAGTTAATATTAGTTCATATATGAGATATTATTATCAGAGCTCAAACATCAGATTATCTAAAATCAGCTCTAATATATTTGTAATAATAGTAATAATATAAATGACTTTATATAAACATGTAAACTCTAAAATGAATTGGCTTCACTTTCATAATTGATTAATTAGAAATACTTTTTAACACCTGAACAATAAATAAAGTTAATATTTTTTCATGAATAAATTGTTGAACTAACTCTGGTTTTACAGGGTATCTTAATGATTATTATTATTGATCTCTAATAAAGTAAGAATAAATGTGACCAGTTTAAGTTGAAGTATTTTAATTTATTTGTTGATATTTATGAAAATGTTTCCTTTTATTGAGACTTTCTGTTCAGACGTGTTTCTGAGTGATGAAGAGGAGCCGGGTGCTCGCCGTGCTGGTGGGCGGAGTCTTCATTGTGGCGGTGATGTCACTAAACCGCATGCTGGAGCTGATGCAGGGGGCGGGGCTTAAACAGCGCGGGGAGACACCTGCTGGACAGGTGCACGACGTGAGTCACAGTTACGCCGCCAGACTGAATACAGTCAATGCAATTTCAAAATAAAGTGTCATTTTAACACAAACATTGTTGAGTTGTAGTTTCAGATTCTGTCGACATCAATAATCAATAATCAATAATAATAATAACAATCTTCGTCTGCAGGATTTGTCCCACCTCCAGCAGAAGATTGACAGGTTGGAACATCTCCTTAGCGACAACAACCGCCTGGTTGCTACGCTGCGTGACTCTTTGCTCCAACGCAAAGCACCATGGGAAACAGGAGCAAGGGCCAATGTGAGCTCAGACTCCGCCCACGGACAAACCGACAGGCTGCCCGGCTGCCGATTGGCAGACGAGCCGAAGGACGGGGCTAACGGCGTGCAGGTTGGCTTAACATGCTAAAATCTGTTAGCTTAGCATGCTAATGATGCTAACCTGCACATGTTGGACAGTTAGCATCATTAGCATTAATAGTCAGCCATATGGATATCTCAGTAATATAGGAGTGTTGTTTATGTTGTTGTTGTTTATCAGCTGCTGGATGTTTACGACCTCCTCCCGTTTGATAATCCTGATGGCGGCGCCTGGAAACAAGGTTTTGAGATCCGTTACCAAGGCAACGAGTGGGACGAGCAGCCGCTGGAGCTTTTTCTGGTTCCTCATTCGCACAACGACCCCGGTACTGACATATCCCTACACCTACATATACATATACATATATATATATATATATACACATTTATATATGTTCCTGAATAATGAATTGATGTAATGACATATCTCACTGTGTGTGTGTGTGTGTGTGTGTGTGTGTGTGTGTGTGTGTGTGTGTGTGTGTGTATCAGGCTGGTTGAAGACATTTGACAGTTATTATCAGGATCAGACCAAACACATCCTCAACAACATGCTGATCAAACTGAGTGAAGACAGCAGGTATTAAACACAGCACTGTCATCAATAATACATCCATTATCAATAATACATCCTTTATCAATAATACATCCTTTAGCAATAATATCCATTATCAATAATACATCATTTATCAATAATATCCATTATCAATAATACATCCTTTATCAATAATATCCATTATCAGTAATATCCATTATCAATAATACATCCTTTATCAATAATATCCATTATCAGTAATATCCATTATCAATAATACATCCTTTATCAATAATATCCATTATCAATAATACATCCTTTATCAATAATATCCATTATCAGTAATATCCATTATCAATAATACATCCTTTATCAATAATACATCCTTTATCAATAATATCCATTATCAATAATATCCATTATCAATAATATTTATCAATAATATCCATTATCAATAATACATCCTTTATCAATAATATAACCATTATCAATCATATCCTTTATCAATAATATCCATTATCAATAATACATCCTTTATCAATAATATAATCATTATCAATCATATCCTTTATCAATAATATCCATTATCAATAATACATCCATTATCAATAATATTCTTTATCAATAATATCCATTATCAATGATACATCCTTTATCAATAATATCCATTATCAGTAATATTCATTATCAATAATACATCCATTATCAATAATATCCATTATCAGTAATATTCATTATCAATAATATCCATTATCAATAATACATCCATTATCAATAATATCCATTATCAATAATATCCATTATCAATAAGTGTTTTTATCTGTCTATCAGGAGGAAGATGATTTGGGCAGAAATCAGTTTTTTCTCTAAATGGTGGAACGACATCGACGATCAGAAGAGAGAAATCGTTAAACGGTAAAACTTTTAGTTTTTGTCTCATTTTATTGTCGGAAACAACAAAAACAACAAAAATAAAATGTTTTAATTGTTTATTATCCTTTCTCTGTTTGTATGGAAGCTTTTTACTGCCAGCAGAATAAAACAATAGGATGAAAACTGATCAATAAATGTTCCTGTAAGTGAGCAAAAATATATTAATATATATAATATATTGTATATTATAATATATATATATTAAATATTGATATAATATATTATATATCAATATTTAATATATATTATACATAATATATATAATATATTATGTATAATATATATTAAATAAAAAGTTATAATTAGTTGGGTTAGGGTTACATTACATTGTTGTTATTTTAGTGTTACTATATTCTCCTGCTCTGTGATTGGTCAGTCTGTTGAGGGCGGGGCAGTTGGAGCTGGTGACGGGCGGCTGGGTGATGGCGGACGAAGCGAACTCTCATTACTTCGCTCTGTTGGATCAGCTGATCGAGGGACACCAGTGGATCCAGCGACACCTGGGTTCGTGTTACCTGCACAAGGCATCACTTCCTGCCGCTGTCTTACGTCATCAAACGCCTCATCAACGTTTGTTTGTATGTATGTTTGTTTGTTTGTTTGTTTGTTTGTTGTTCAGGTGTGAAGCCAAGCAGCGGTTGGGCGGTGGATCCGTTTGGCCACTCCCCCTCCATGACCTACCTGCTGAAGGGGGCGGGGCTTCGGGACATGGTCATCCAGCGCGTTCACTACGCTGTCAAGAAGCACTTCGCCAAGCAACAGACGCTGGAGTTTCTATGGCGACAGAGCTGGGGTAGGCGGGGGGGAGACTGTCGATCAGCTGAAGGAACTATTGATTTTAACTAATTGAACCAAATAATCTGAATAATAATAACACTTTATTGCTATTATTGATTGTTTTTATTGATTGTTTTTTTTACTGTGTTCTTTCTGTGAAACAGAGATTAAATTAAATATGGATAACTTTGTGATATTGACGTTTGCTTTCTCTCTAACTCCGCCCACTTCCTGTATGTCAGACTCCTCCTCCCGTAGTGACATCACGTGTCACATGATGCCCTTCTACAGCTACGACGTACCGCACACGTGCGGTCCGAACCCGGCCATCTGTTGTCAGTTTGATTTCCATCGCCTGCCGGGGGGGCGTGTCTCCTGTCCGTGGAGGATACCGCCACAGCCAATCACAGAGCAGAATGTCCAGGAGAGGTAAGCAGGGGGCGGGGCCAAAGATAGACAACAACAAAGACCCTGAGCTGTAGACCCTGTCCCTGATCTATCTGTAGACCCTGTCCCTGAGCTGTAGACCCTGTCCCTGTGTCCTCTCAGAGCTCTCCTCCTGTTGGATCAGTACCGCCAGAAGTCTCGTCTCTTTCATTCTCCGGTTCTTCTCGTTTCGCTCGGTGACGACTTTCGATTTGTGGAGTCGAGCGAGTGGGACGCTCAGTTCAGTAACTACCAGAAACTCTTCGACTACTTCGACCAACACCCGGAGCTCCACGTCAAGGTGAGCACCTGAGAGACCTGCGAGGGGGGCGGGGCCTGATGGCAGGAAATTCCCTTAGTGGTGCATCAACTCTTCTTCTCCTGTCTTTTTTCAGGCTCGTTTCGGGACTCTGTCAGATTACTTCAAAGCCCTTCGTCGCCGTTTGACCGCAGCAGGAACAACTCTGCCGACGCTTCGCGGCGACTTCTTCACGTACTCCGACCGTGACGATCATTACTGGAGCGGATACTTCACCTCCAGACCATTCTACAAACGCCTCGACAGAACACTGGAGGCCACGCTCAGGTACGTTATCTCCTATTTAACCTGACTCAGGTACGTTATCTCCTATTTAACCTGACTCAGGTACGTTATCTCCTATTTAACCTGACTCAGGTACGTTATCTCCTATTTAACCTGACTCAGGTACGTTATCTCCTATTTAACCTGACTCAGGTACGTTATCTCCTATTTAACCTGACTCAGGTACGTTATCTCCTATTTAACCTGACTCAGGTACGTTATCTCCTTATTTTACCTGACTCAGGTACGTTATCTCCTTATTTTACCTGACTCAGGTACGTTATCTCCTTATTTTACCCGGCTCAGTTTCGGTTCAGTGTATTTAATGTCTTTCTTTAATATTATTTAATATTAATGTTAAATTTTTTCTGTTTTATCCAGTTTTAAAAAAACAATTTAAATACAAATTTCTATATGTAATTTGTTTTATTTTCTTTATTTTTGATCTTTTCATGTAAATTTTCTATATTTACATTTTAAATCATCGTTTGTCCTTTTTCACTATAAATATAAATCTTTATATATTTATATTATTTATGTTGTATTTTTGTTCATATTTAAAGATTTTCCTCTTCTCTCTCTGACAGAGCGACAGAAATTCTCTTCAGCCTGACGACGGCTGAAATGCGCCGTTACCGTGGTGATGGTCATCTGGTTGCAGATTTCCCAGCACACCAACACTTCCAGCGCCTGACGACAGGGAGGCGGAGCCTGGCGCTGTTCCAGCACCACGACGGTGTCACCGGCACTGCCCGGGACCCTGTTGTGGTGGACTATGGCACCAGGTGACTACCTTCTGGGAACACCTTAGCCTGTTAGCATGTTGGTGTAATCGAAGGTTAAAGAATAAGATGCTTTTGGTAAGGTGGAAAGAGAGACTCATAGGACAGGACTCCTGTCAGTGGGGGGGGTATATGAGGGCTCCTGTCAGTGGGGGGGGATATATGAGGGCTCCTGTCAGTGGGGGGGATATATATCAGGGCTCCTGTCGGTGTGTGTGTGTGTGTGTGTGTGTGTGGGGGGGGGTATATACCAGGGCTCCTGTCGGTGTGGGGGGTATATCAGGGCTCCTGTCGGTGGGGGGTATATATCAGGGCTCCTGTCTGTGTGGGGGGGGTATATATCAGGGCTCCTGTCGGTGGGGGGGGTATATGAGGGCTCCTGTCGGTGTGGGGGGTATATATCAGGGCTCCTGTCGGTGGGGGGGGTATATATCAGGGCTCCTGTCTGTGTGGGGGGGTATATCAGGGCTCCTGTCGGTGGGGGGTATATGAGGGCTCCTGTCGGTGGGGGGGGGTATATATCAGGGCTCCTGTCGGTGGGGGGGGTATATATCAGGGCTCCTGTCTGTGTGGGGGGGGGTATATCAGGGCTCCTGTCGGTGGGGGGGTATATGAGGGCTCCTGTCGGTGGGGGGTATAAGGGCCCTGTCTGTGTGGGGGGGTATATATCAGGGCTCCTGTCGTGTGGGGGGGGTATATGAGGGCTCCTGTCTGTGTTAAGGTCCTGTCGGTGTGGGGGGGGAGAGGGCCTGTCTGTGTGGGGGGGGTATATATCAGGGCTCCTGTCGGTGGGGGGGTATATATCAGGGCTCCTGTCGGTGTGGGGGGTAGGGCTCCTGTCTGTGTGGGGGGGGTATATATCAGGGCTCCTGTCTGTGTGGGGGGTATATATCAGGGCTCCTGTCGGTGGGGGGTATATATCAGGGCTCCTGTCGGTTGGGGGGTATATATCAGGGCTCCTGTCGGTGGGGAGTATTAACAGAAGGAGTTAAAGGTGTTGAAGCAGCTTAAACTAGCAGGTGTTAGCATACATATACATTAATATTTTTTGTGAAGTGACTTTTGTTAAAATATCACAAAGTTTTAATGAAGTTTTTTTTTAATGATTTATTTTTCATTCTTATTATTTCTTCCCTAATGTCCTTATTATTTTTGCAGATAACAAATCAGTGTTAGCATTGTCTTTAGCGTTAGCGTGTGTTTTGTCTCATTTGTCCCTCCATGCTCTCTGTTGAAGGATGACGTCGCCGCCGGCAACGGTAACAGGTACTGCCTCGCTTAGTGTGAGCAGTTAGCATTAGCCTCCCATCATACCCATTCATTTAGCATTAGCATCTAACATTAATTTCCCATCAGTCCCATTTGATGAGCGTTTCATTAACAGTGTGTTTTACAGTGTAGTTTGTCATTCATTGTTTATGTTTGACGTTTTTGAAGTTGTAAACTTCATTTTAAATAAAGTTTTGATTATAAAACAATGTTTTTTAGGCTTCAGTACGCATGTAAAGTCAGTATGTTTTATAGTGCAGACAATGTAGAAAACCTTAAATCAAACTGTTTTAATAAAGTTCATCAATAAAAATAAAATCAATGTTGGAACAAAACTCTTCCAGAATGACACAAGAAGGAAATGAAAACGTTTGAACTGAAATACATTTTATTTTGCAGATTGTTTCACTCGATCCTGAACCTGCGCCAGGTGCTGCAGAGCTCCGCCCACTGGCTGCTCCTATTGGACAAGAGCCAGTACCACTACGACCAATCAAAACCCTTCCTGAAAATGGTGACCCCTGACCCCATCACCTCTTTTAAAATGATCCTATGTAGTTTATTTCTGTAATTGTTTTATGGCACAGACAGAATTTATAAGTACAACTCATTAAATAATAACGGTTCAATAATGTTATTATTATTATTTATTATTATAATGAGACTGATCTGGAACAATAATATGATGTTGACAGACTTGTAGTCAATGTTTGGTGCTTTAGAATCATTTAATTAATAATGAATTCAATCAGTCAGACAACAGAAACTGTGGACGTTATGGACACGTTGACGGACGGATGATGTGAGTTTCAGGAACATAAATGTATGAAAAATTTACATTTTTAATAACTAAATCTCGGGTTGATGTATTTTCAGGATGATGTCATCTCGGCGCAGGACGCTCTGCCCCAGAAGACGTTGCTCACGCTCAGCGATGAGCCCAGGTGAGGGGGGCAGGGCTTATATAGGGAAGCGGCTGAGGCAGAATAGCTTACTTTATTATTTTCAGTTTACATATTAATACCACAAATACGCTGAGCCACATTTACACCCGAGAACTACTCAGGAACTACTTTTCAAGACGTCTGTGCTTCCACCGTGGTCTACAGACACGTGAAAACCAGGTAAATGTGTTGGAAGTCACAGACTGAATGACAAACAGTCGTCAGTCTCCGTGACGTCCCCCACAGGTCTGTGAAGAGCTCAGTATGGTCGTCGCCATCTTGGATTTCCTCAGGGTCCACAAGGGTCAAATCTTGGACCTTTGCTTTTTATTTGTAGTCACGGTTCCACGAGATTATAAAGTAGAGTTTATCCTTCAATATGCTGATGATACTCTGCTGTTCGCCCTCACTGGTTCCTGAAGAGCCATTGTTCAGCCTCAGTGTTTGTCTCCACTCTGTATGTTTGATTGATTGATATTGAACACTGATCGGTTTCCTTTCAGGTCATTGATCATCTTTAACCCGACAGAGCAGCTCCGTACGTCCGTCATCAGCATCGTCGTCGACTCTCCTGACGCTCGCGTTGTTGATGCACAGACGGGTCAACCGATGACTGCGCAGATCTCTGCGGTGTGGGAGGAGCCAACTCTGGCGTCCGCAGAAGATTTCCAGGTGAAAAACGAATTAGTTCAGTCAATTAAAATATTTCCTGTAAAGTTATTTTTGATCTGTAAAAAAAAAGTTGTTCGTATTCATTTGTATTTCTGTATGATTTATTAGGGACTGAGCCAGTGACCGCTGGAGGTCCCTATTGTTTTTGCTCGATTTCCTATTATTTTTAGCCCCTGTTGACTGCATTTTTGCCCCTCTGAACATATACGAAAACTCAATTTTATTTGGCAAAGTTGTCAGGCCTGGTGAAAATGGGGATATTCTATGCGTCTCTTTCAGGTTGCCCACTAGGTGGCGCTACTATCATAAAAAATGCGTTTAGGCTAATTACTTCTGCACAGTTTGTCGCACATTCAAAAACCTTGTGTCCACGCGTTCAGTGAATAGAGCTGAATCTCCCCATGTAAGCCCAATTTTTTTTTTCTATAGCGCGAAATGTCCATAAACTACTTTTCCGTGTTCCTCCCATGCGCTTTGTCCGATTTGCACAAATTTTTTCACGTAGCATCTGGGGACCATCCTAATAAAAAAGTAATTTAAAGAATTTTGGTATTAAAAAAAAATAAGCACGTTATAAAATTAACACTTCCTGTGGATTTTTCGTCAAAAAAGGAAGTGGACCATTTCTCCACATTGCTATGTCCGATTGTCACCAAACTTGGGTCCATAGTTACTCATGTCTTTGTTAGGCATCGTGCACAATTTCAGGTCATCGCCACTAGGTGTCGCTCTTTAAAATGAAGAAGTTTATATCTCTGCAACGGCACGTGTGATTAAAATGAAACTTGGTATGATGATTCCCCATGGCTCTCTGAGGCTCATTTAAAAAGGACAAAAAAATATGCCACTAGGTGGCGCTCTTTTGGCATGATAAATCACTGTGCGGAGACCGTAATAGTTATCAATATTAAATTCACAGGGCACGTGTAGAGTAGTGCCTGAAGCTCACATACCAAAAATCGTGTTTGTCGTGTTTGTAGCGCCCCCTACAGGATAAAAAGACAGCAGCCCCGGCGCCACGTTTCACTGATATGTACGAAAGGGTACATATCTTGGTAGGCACGTGTAACATGCCGGTACGTACAAAAAAGCCTCTTGGACCCATACCCGAAACCCCACAGGAAGTCGGCCATTTTGATTTTGATTTTCACTTACGCGTTGTATTTGTACGAACTCCTCCTAGGGAATTTATCGGATATGCTTCAAAATTTGTGAGTACAGTCATAATACTGTTGTTGCTGTGCACCTGTCTGTCTGTCGCGCTCTCTCTCTCTCTCTCTCTCTCTCTCTCTCTCTCTCTCTCTCACCCCAACTGGTCGAGACAGACGACCACCCACCTAGAGCCGGAGGATCTGTCCTAGGTTTCTGCCTTTTAACAGGCAGTTTTTCCTTGCCCTTGTCGCCAAGTGCTTGCTCATGGTGGTACTGTTGGGTCTCTGTAATTAATGTTAAAGAGTTCGGTCTAGACCTGCTCTATTTGAAAAGTGTCCTGAGATAACTTCTGTTATGAATTGGCGCTATACAAATAAAATTGAATTGAATTGAATTGAATTGAATTGAATAAAATAGTGCTAATTAAAAGTTGTGCTATTTGTGCATGTACATTAAAGGGCGTGTCAGTGGCGTGCCTTCAAAGTTGGCCATTTCGAATTCTGTGGTCATACAAACTGATAGAAAAGTTGAGCTGTGACTTTACATTAAACCGCGTGCCAGTGACAACTTGTCGATTTCAGCAGATTCGCCATAAAACAGTACTCATAACTTCAGTGTGCAATGTCCAATCTCCAATAAACTTCATATATTCTGAAACAGTTTTGCCCTGAACACGTCCTCATAACTTCAGCGTACGTGGTCCAATCTCAATGAAACTTCACGTGTTTGATAACACTCTCACCTTGAACATGTCTACATGACAACATTCAGACATAGTGATAGCGCCACCTACCGGCAACAGGAAGTAAGCGCTGCGTGGCAATTGTGAGCTGATTTACGTGAAATTTCATGTTTTGGTCCCCACGTGTTACGACGGAATGTAGCACGCCCCGAGTTGCGTGGAGTGCGAGGTCCCGCCCAATGCGGCTTGCAGCTTTAATTATATACGTTATTATTATTATTGTTGTTGTTGTTGTTATTAATCAATACTACTAGACTTTTATTTTGGTACATTTACTTGTATGTTTCTTTAACGTTAGCCCCTCCCCTGATCAATGATTGTCCAATCACAGCAGAGTTTTATATTTTCACCTTCAGCTCGACTTCGTGGCTCAACTTCCTCCTCTTTCACTCGTTGTGTATCATGTGACCAAAGCTTCTGTTGGCTCTGCCAACCGGGCTCGCTACACCTTCCATCGCCGTGGCAACCCGCCGACCATCCAAACCGAACACTTCCAGGTGTCCCGCCCGGAAGGACCTGACACTGACGCCCCCCTGTCGCTTAGCAACAAGCACGTCCAAATATGGAGCTCCTCAGAGACCGGCCTGCTGCAGGTCAGACTTCTCATATTAAAAGGAAGTTTTTCCTTGCTGCTAGGTCTAGGTTCCTTGCTAGGTCCTGCAAGGTCTTGCTCATGGTGGTACTGTTGGGTCTCTGTAAATAATGTTATAAAGAGTTCGGTCTAGACCTGCTCTATTTGAAAAGTGTCCTGAGATAACTTCTGTTATGAATGCGCTATACAAATAAAACTGAATTGAATTGAATTGGATAAAATGAAAATTTTAATGAATAAATTAAAGCCAAAATATAATAAAATGATCTATTATTGGTTTAATGTGTGTAATTGTAAAAAATACCAACATATTTAAGGTGTAACACATTGTTATAGAAATGATCAGATAATTTTTTATTATTAGTTATTTTATTAATCCACTTACTGATGAATTAATATTAAGTTAAAGTTAAAATTAACTAATTATTGTTACTGATAAAGTTCATTTGAAGGCTGACTTAGACCTTATTTTGAAATGCAGAAGCTCCGCCTACAGTCCGGTCTGGTCCGTCAGGTCCAGGTCCAGTTCCTGTGGTACGGAACCACAAGGAACCGAGACAAGAGCGGAGCTTACCTGTTCCTGCCAGGGGAGGAGGGGGCCCAGGTGAGTCCAGAACCAGGACCCAGATCTCTCTCTCTCTCTCTCTCTCTCTCTCTCTCTCTCTCTCTCTCTCTCTCTCTCTCTCTCTGTCCTCTCATTCACTGTGAATGTCTCTCGCCCCCCTGCAGCTCTACTCCTCCTCAGAACCACCCCTGGTTCGGGTCTCCAGAGGTCCAGTCTTCTCTGACATCACTTCCTGTTTCCGGCACTTTACGCACAGAGTCCGACTCTACCACCTGGAGGGTAACGAGAACATTGAGCCTCTAGTGGACGCCACAGGAACTGCAGGCTTGTTGTACTGAGCATGCTCAGTAGAGTCCTGTCTGTCACTGACTTCCTGTTGGCCACTAATGTATCAATTATTCATATTGATCCAACTAAAGGATTTCACAATAAAAGCCTCCTGTCTGTCTCTGCCCCAGGGCATGCTGGGAAGTCCCTGGAGATTTCCAACATGGTGGACATCAGGTCAGAGGTCAACCGGGAGCTCGCCATGAGGATCGTCAGCAATGTTGCCAGCGGCAACCGCTTCTACTCCGACCTCAACAGTTTCCAGGTTCACTGCGTTTGATGATGTCACATGTTGTTAAAAAAACACCATGAGCCTGTTACTGATTGATTATTGAGAGTTTACTCATTGGTTATTTATTGGTAATTGATTGCTTATTGAAAGTTTATTGATAGTTTACAAAGTCAAAGTCAGCTTTATTGTCAAATATGTTTTACATGCACGATATACAGCACAGATGAAGTTTCAGTCCTCGGACCCTCGGTGCAAACAGGCAATAAGTCATCAAATAAACAGTCAACAATCAACTCATTGGTTATTGATAGTTTATTGATTGCTTATTGATAGTTTACTCATTGGTTATTGATAGTGTATTGATTATTGATGGTTTATTGGGTACAGATGCAGCAGCGGCGCACTCTGGCGAAGCTCCCCCTGCAGGCGCACTTTTACCCCATGACCTCGGCGTCGTTCCTGCAGGACGAGACATCTCGAGTGTCTCTGCTGTCGGCTCAGAGTCAGGCTGTCGCTTCGCTCCGACCAGGTGAATCTCCGTCTACCTGGCTGTTTGTCTGTCTGTGGAAATAACAACAATCTGACTTTATTGATCGCCTATTAACAGCCAACCTGCGCGCTCTCTGACGGCCAGCAGGGGGCAGCTCCACTCTGATAGTATTGAGTCTTATGGAGAAGTTGATTCATTCACAGTAAACAGTTTATGGTACGTCACCGCTACATGGAGACGACCATAACGCCCAACTGGAGGCTTCTGTCTGAGCACGCTGACCTCTGTCCTCTGACCCCTGCAGGTGAACTGGAGGTGATATTGGACCGGCGGCTGCAGCAGGACGATAACCTCGGCCTCGGTCAGGGCATCACCGACAACAAGCTGACAGCGAGTCTCTACCAGCTGCTGTTGGAGGACAGGAGGGGCGGGGCCCAGGTGAGGGGGCCCAACACGCCGTCTGTAAAATGTGATCGATCGATCGGTTGTGATCAGATATGTGACCGATATGAGACGACATGAAAAGTTGAACTCTTTAAACACCTTCTGAGGATCAAACTGAAAGACCAAAATACAATTCAATACAATACAATTCATAACAGAAGTTATCTCAGGACACTTTTCAAATAGAGCAGGTCTAGACCGAACTCTTTATAACATTATTTACAGAGACCCAACAGTACCACCATGAGCAAGACCTTGGAGACAATGGCAAGGAAACACTGCCTGTTAAAAGGCAGAAACCTAGGACAGATCCTCTGGCTCTAGGTGGGTGGTCGTCTGTCTCGACCAGTTGGGGTGAGAGAAACAGACAGACAGACAGGTGCACAGCAACAACAGTATTGGCAATGGCAATCTAGCAGGACCATGGCAGGAGGCTCCACCAGGATCGATAAGAACCTGCGAGACGAGAAAGCACAAGACCTCCGGGGAAGAAGTGGAGTTAGTAACATGCATTAATGGAACATGAATGAGTGCATAAAGAGAGAGGAAGAGAGTAGCTCAGTGCACCATGGGAAATCCCCCGATAGTCTAGGCCTATAGCAGCATAACTAAGGGATGGTTCAGGACTCACCTGATCCAGCCCTAACTATAAGCTTTATCAAAGAGGAATGTCTTAAGCCTACTCTTGAATGTGGAGAGGGTGTCTGCCTCCCGAACCACAACTGGAAGCTGATTCCACAGGAGAGGAGCTTGGTAACTGAAGGCTCTGGCTCCTGTTCTACTTTTAGAGACTATAGGAACCACAAGTAGCCCAGCATTCAGAGAACGTAGTGTTCTAGTGGGGTAATAGGGTACTATGAGCTCTTTAAGATATGAAGGGGCCTGACCATGAAGAGCTTTATAGGTGAGGAGGAGTATTTTAAATTCAATTCTACATTTTATAGGGAGCCAGTGCAGAGAAGCTAGTACAGGAGAGATGTGATCTCTTTTTCTAGTTCCTGTCAGTACTCGTGCTGCAGCGTTCTGAATTAATTGGAGCGTTTTAATGGACTATATATGGATATATTAATATGATTATTATATTACTGATATTATATATTAATATTATTATATTACTGATATATATTAATATTATATTACTGATATTATATATTAATATGATTATATTACCGATATTATATATATTTATATTATTATTGTATTACTGATATTATATATATTATTATTATTATATTACTGATATTATATATTAATATTATATTACTGATATTATTACTAATATTACATATATTTAGTATTTACCTTTGTTTTCTTTCAGTTCTTTTTCTTTCTCCACTTGTTATTTTTTGCTTTATTATCATTTTTATTCATCAGATTTCTTTTGTTTACATTTTGTTTTCCTGACAGGAAGTGGGAGGAGCCTCAGTACAACACCTGTCCCTGCTCGCCCACCTGACCTCGCTCTCCCTCTGCCACCCGCCAATCACCATGGTCGCCACTAGCGACAGCCAGCTGCCGAAGCTCCGCCCCTTCCTGCCGCTCCAGTCCTCGCTGCCGTGTGACGTTCACCTGCTGAACCTGAGGACGCTGGAGGACACACAGGTAAGAACACCAGGAATCACCTTGAATCACCTGGAATCACCTGGAATCTATAACATTAAAGGACAATTCCGGTGCAAAATGACCCTGGGGTTAATAACACATGTGTACCGAGTTGGTCCGGTCTCTGGGATATGTTTTCATGCTAATCGACCGTGACTGGTTTTAGCACAAACTGCTAATTAGCTTATAATGCTAGTCAACGGGGCACAGAGTAAGTATCACACTGCCCCAACACACTGCCCCAACACACTGCCCCAAAACACTGCCCCAAAACACTGCCCCAACACACTGCCCCAAAACACTGCCCCAACACACTGCCCCAACACACTGCCCCAACACACTGCCCCAAAACACTGCCCCAACACACTGCCCCAACACACTGCCCCAAAACACTGCCCCAACCAACACACTGCCCCAAAACACCCCCACACACTGCCCCAACACACTGCCCCAAAACACTGCCCCAAAACACTGCCCCAACACACTGCCCCAACACACTGTTACTGTTATTAACCCCAGGGTCCTTTAATGTTTTACAGAGTTCGGTCTAGACCTGCTCTGTTTGAAAAGTGTCCTGAGATAACTTCTGTTATACAAATAAAATTGAACATTTGTAGTAGAATTACAAACTCAAATTAACTTCAACAATTATAAAAACTGTCCACAGATAAATAATCAATATTTTCCCTGTTCAGTTATTGATCACTGCGCAGCAACAAATGGATTCAGAACTCTGCTGTGATCAATAACTGTAACATTGAGCTTCAGTGTGTCTCACTGCGGAGGTCTAATGTCAATAAAGGGATCAATATGATCCTGAAAGAACGACATCGTCTGCCAGACGACGAGCAAACGACTGTTAAAATGCTCGTTTTCTGAATGGAGTTTGGTTGATCAGGGCTACGCTAACTTAGCTCACAGTAAAGTAAAAGGAACAGTTGGATCAATAACAGACTTTGTTTGGAAAAAACTTTGGTCAGAAATATATTGTTGATTGTTGTTTATTCCAATAATGTTTATATTATATATAATAATATCTCACAAACATCAGATTATTGTTATATTACACAGTTATTATAATAATAATTGCGTTTGTGGTAAACAGGAAGCAGGAAGTCCGTCACAGGAAGTGGCTCTCCTCCTCCACAGGAAGGGCTTTGATTGTAGCTCCGCCCCCGAGCCGCCGCTGCAGTGCTCGTGGAGCGCGCACGAGGAGGTGGACACACTTATTTATTTATTATATGTTTTTCTTTATTATTAATATATTAACATATTGCTTAAAGTTACATTCAAAACTAATTATTTTCTTTGTTTTCAAATGTGTTTAATATTTTCTTTAATTACGTTTCTCAGATTGAATAATTGTTTTATAGAATCTCATTTGTTTTTAAAATAGTTTCTACGGAAGCGTATTGCATTCACTTGAAAATTAATTTTATGGTCTGTTTTTCGGACTAATTCTTTTTCTGAGTTTAGAGAGCATTTGAAACAATAGACGCATTAATTCCTTTATTGAGAGCTCGATTTAATGGAAACAAACATAACCGGCTTGTTTAGTTCAATCAGGTTTAACTTTGATCTGGTTCCAGACTCTGGGAGATAGTCCTGTCTTTAAGTCTTATTGATGGTATTATCATTAGTCTGTCGACTCTACGCAGGAACCTGAGGTAGATAGTTGAAGATGGGGCATGTATGTGCGGGCAGGAGTCACCATCGGTCCATGGAGTCACTGCAGGTTGGAGGTTCTCGCGGGAGTTCGATCTCGATAATTCAGAAAAACAGAAAAAATTATTCAATAATTTTTTTTTCACGTGAATGCAATACGCTTCCGTATTTATTATTAATTTCTTAGAATTTATTGTTTGTTTCTTCTGAACCGAACTGGTTTCTGTTTCCAGGTGAACCTGGACGATATTTTCTCTCCTCTTCAGTTCAGTTCTGTCCGTCAGTCGGGTCTCACTCTGCTGCGAGAAGACGACGAGCCTGAATCCGCCCGGCCACAGCGGGCGCCACACGTCGCTCGCCTGCGGCCGATGGAGATCAGCGCTTTCCGTGTGGAGATCGGCTAAAAAACCGGCAGCTAAAAGTCCAAATTCAACCAAAACTCTGTCACACAAAAACACACGAGGGCAAAAATCTAAAGCCGCCAAACAGCCGGTGAACAGCCGGTGAAATGCTAATTATGAATTTGATCATTAATAATCAATCAAATGCTGGAAGAACAAATAAAAAGGGAAACACAGAGAAGACAAATTATAAAAACATTTAGACAATAAAAACGGAGCATATTTGATTGTTACAGCTGCAGAGGTCAGTCGGGGTTAAAGGTCAAATATTCAGGGAATCAGGGAACAAACGGGTCAGTCTAAAGGTCAAAGGTCAACCACACAAATACAGATTTTGTATAAATGAAGAAAAATAGAAAACACTGAACTTGTTTGCGTATGAACACTAACGACACAGCTGAGGTTGCTACGGCAACAAGAAGGGACCCAACAAGCGGTTAGCTCGTTGTTCAGTGAATGTTTTTAATTGTGAGAAATCCTCCAACTGCTGTTTGCTTTGTTTACGGACTTTTTTTTTTTTTTTTTCCGTTAAAGTCTCCATGAAACAGGAAGTAGAGAGTTGTTAGTGTTTCCTGTAAAAACAGGAAGTAGTGAGGGAGTTGTCCCAGATATTGATTGGCGTTAGCATAGACTCAGTGTGTTAGCCTCCACACTCTGCAGCTAGCGTACCTCCCCCAGTAACGGGGGCGGGACGGGAAGACGTAAGGTAGGTGGTTTTTTTGGTGGTTTTTTTTTTTTTTTGGGTTGTGGGGGGCGGGTCGGGGTGGGTGGGTTTTTCGTTGTTGCTCGATTTTGGTTGTTTTCTACCTAAAAATTTGTCCATAAGAACTGTGTGTAACCCCGTTTGCTAACGTCTGACCAGAGGCTGTGCTCCCGGTCCGTGCCGAGCCCCCCCGCATAGTAGCGGTACTCTACTAAAGCCTGCGTGATCCAGTTCACCCACCAATACTTATAAGTAAATCTAACTAGTTAAGGTCCCATTGTACCGAACACTGGTTGCAGTTCCAGCAGAGGTCCACTGGGGGCGCTCTCCCAGCAGTGCAGAATGAATGGGAGCAGATGGAGCTGATTGTGGTTGAGAGATCTCAGATGTGATTGTAGTTTTTAAAGTTCAACATGGGTTATAGGTCGAAAGCTGAATGAACGAGTTCTGATGTCCTTTAGATTTCCTACAGGACGAGTTGTTGTTGCCCATAACGCGCTAGCATTCTGCTAATGAACGCTGATTGGTCAGTGAAGGACTGATTACGACCAGAGATCCCGCTCGATGGCATCGTGGCATCCGAAGCGGGAATATGAATATTTCGGCGTGGGGTTTAAAACAGCCAAACAAAAACTCTCTCTAGCCCGTGTATTGACAGGGAGAGTCTAACCTGTGTCGGCTGTGTCGTCGATGCCTCGAGAGAAAAGGAAGCACAAAGAGACTCGAGGCTCGCCGTAAAGCGGTATCTCTGTACGATGTGTGTGACGTCACTGACATTTTAAAAGACTTTAAAGAAAATAAGTGACTCTAAAGAATCTAACACCCAGCAATGTGTCATTACTAGACAAACACTGATATCCTGAGAGAAGAGGATTGTGAGGGTATAGCTCCATAGAGCTCCATTCATTCTGCTCTCATCCTGTGAGCGCCCTCACATGGAGCCAGAGGGGAACTGCAACAGCTCAGAACCCGGAGGTTTACTGAGAGTGGAAGTTCTCCTTATTAGACGTTCTCTGGTCTGAGATGAAAACACTGAAACTGATTCTGACTTCATGGAGACTGTAACCATGGTGACCTGTGTTGATTTTATTGTGCCTAATTCTCTTCCGATTGTTGAATGTTTATATTTATTTGATGATTGTCTTTTTCTATATTTGTTTATGGAAACGATTCAATCTAATGGGTTTCTTATAATTAATAAATTCTCTATATAGTTTAAAAAGGTAAATCACTGAAACTTACAAAGTCTTTAAAAGTTAAATTACAAATATTTTTACTTCATATATCTGTTCAGAAATACAAGTTTTTAATTTTCTTGTTTATTTTAATACAAAAATATTATAATAATTATTGTTTAATTTTTCTTGTTTTTGAAGTGTTTTATATTCATGTGACTCAGGTTTTTAAAAGATATGAAAGAATATGAAGTTATTGATGCTGCTGAGATTATTTTCACTAATCAATCACATCAGTGGAAACGTGTCACATGGTCCTCAGAGATGGGCGTGGTCTAATGGCTCCACAGCGCCCCCAGCAGGCACATGAATCCAGACCGGACGCACAAAAAAGCCTTTTGGAGCCATAAACACAACAGGAAATTATAAAGTAATGATTTATGTAAATTAGCTTACTACTTTGAGATAAATAATAGTAGTGATAAAGTAATGCTTTGTGCCCATTTCTTCCGCCATGTTTACGCCCTTTGATCAATATTTTTCTCTGCGTTCATGTTTCAGTTGTGATGAAACGTTGAAAGTAATAAAACGTATTTGTCATAAAAAAACAAACAAACAAACGATTCAACATCAACAAGTTTAATACAAAATAAAACTGTGTGTGTGTGTGTGTGTGTCACAGCAGTGCGCTCTTAGCATACGACAGCAGACACAGCGATTGGTCGAATGTTGCCTGTAGCTCCGCCCACCCCGCCTCCAGGCGGGAGGAGAGACGGAACAATGCTGCCATGGCGACAGAGTCCTGTGACAGCGAGCGGAGGTGGAGCTGAAAAACACAAAACAACTGTTGGTAAACAGGAAACTGAGGAGAGATTTTCACAATAAAAGACAGTAGCTCTGCTGCGCTCTGATTGGCTGACCTTCAGGAAGAGCGCCAGGTAGGCGTGAGCCAGGTCAAAGTCCCGCCCACTGGTCAACATGCTGTCAATCATTTGAATGAAGGCGAGCAGGAGGCTGTTGGCCCCACCCCCCTCTGATGTCAGACAGGTGAGCTCGACCGAGAGCGCCGACGGCCCACAATCCTTCAGGAGCTGCAGCGGGCGATCGACTGCACAGACAGAGAGAGAGAGTTATTCATTTATTATTTTTATTGTTATTTACAAACAGAAATATTCAGGACAAATAAAATAAAGGACAATAAAGGAAATAAATCCTCACATGATCCCGACTGCAGAGCCGACTCCAGATCAGAACTGAACTCTGACCTCTGAGACAGCGAACCCCACGGCAACAGCTTGGACTAGACGACGACGACAACAACAACAACGAAAGTGGCTTGTTATTGTTATTACTGCCTTAGTTTGTGAACAGGAGGAAACAGATTTTAGAAATAAAAGCTCGGACTGAAGCGAGGCTCGAGCAGCCGTACCTGTGCTTCCTGATCGGTTGCCGTGGGCGACGCAAATTGAGGTGTGAGACCAGGAAGTGTTGGCAGGAAGAAGGGAGCAGCCGCCGGAGCAACAGGCGGCGCTACAGGTTTATTCCTCCTCTACAAACAATAAACAACAAACAAATAAACAACACGATTTAAATGATTGTGATTAATATTGATTCTGTATCGGTGACTGCAGGTTGTGTGTGTGTGTGTGTGTGTGTGTGAGAGAGTGAGAGAGAGAGAGAGAGAGAGAGAGAGAGAGAGAGAGAGTGAGAGAGAGAGAGAGAGAGAGAGAGAGAGTGTGTAACTACAGAGGAATATGTGCTTCCAGTAACCTGGGAAAAATATTCTGAAACATCATTAATAAACGACTTGTCAACCTGGCCTCACCCTGAACGACACAGAGATCAGAGGTCTGCTATATGCAGATGACTTAGTGTTGCTTTCACCTACTAAAGAAGGTTTGCAGCAGCACCTTAATCTCCTGCAGAGATTTTGTCAGACCTGTGCCCTGACAGTAAACACAGCAAAGACTAAGATAATGATCTTTCAGAAACAATACAGATATCAGGTTACACACAATTTCTATTTAGACACCACTAAATTACAACATACAAAAAACTACACTTACCTTCAAGTTCAGGGACTTCTGTCAATGTAAACTTAGATATATATTTAGACTGTTTTTCTGCTATCGATCTTCATCAGTTAACTTCAATCATTTCTTCATCGAAGCCATCAACCTGTCTGTTAGACCCGATCCCAACTAGGCTGCTTATAGAAGTTGTTCCCTTAATTGGCACTTCTTTACTGGATATGATTAATCTTTCTTTATTATCAGGATATGTACCACAGTCCTTTAAAGTAGCTGTAATTAAACTCCTTCTTAAAAAGCCCACTCTTGACCCAGGGGTTTTAGCCAACTATAGACCGATTTCTAACCGTTCCTCTCTAAGATTCTGGAGAAAGTAGTCGCCAAAGAGTTGTGTGACTTTCTACATAACAATAGTTTATTTGAGGATTTTCAGTCAGGATTTAGAGTTCATCATAGCACAGAGACAGCTCTGGTTAAAGTTAATAATGACCCTCTGATTGCTTCTGACAATGGACTTGTCTCTGTACTTGTATTATTAGATCTTAGTGCTGCATTTGACACCATTGACCATGATATTCTTTTACAGAGACTCGAACATCAAATTGGCATTAAAGGAACCGCACTAAGCTGGTTTAAGTCATATTTATCAGATCGCTCGCAGTTTGTACATGTTAACGATGAATAAATACTACAGTTAAGTCATGGAGTTCCACAAGGTTCTGTACCTGGACCAATACTATTTACTTTATATATACTCCCTTTAGGCAACATTATTAGGAATCACTCCATTAACTTTTACTGTTATGCAGATGATACGCAGTTATATCTATCGATCAAGCCCAATGAAATTAATCAATTATCTAAATTACAAACATGTCTTAAGGACATAAAATCCTGGATGAGCTGCAATTTTTTGATGTTAAACTCAGAAAAAAACAAAATTCTTGTTCTTGGCCCCAAAAACCTCAGAGACTCACTGTCTAAAGATATAGTTACTCTAGATGGCATTACCTTGGCCTCTAGCACCACTGTCAGGAATCTTGGAGTTATCTTTGATCAGGATTTGTCATTTAACTCCCACATAAAGCAGACCTCTAGGACTGCCTTCTTTCATTTACATAATATTACAAAAATTAGACACATACTATCACAGACAGATGCAGAAAGACTAATCCATGCATTTGTTACTTCAAGGCTGGATTACTGCAACTCTTTATCATCAGGTTGCCCCAATAAGTCCATTAAAACGCTCCAATTAATTCAGAACGCTGCAGCACGAGTACTTACAGGAACTAGAAAAAGAGATCACATCTCTCCTGTACTAGCTTCTCTGCATTGGCTCCCTGTAAAATGTAGAATGGAATTTAAAATCCTCCTCCTCACCTATAAAGCTCTTCATGGTCAGGCCCCTTCATATCTTAAAGAGCTCATAGTACCCTATTACCCCACTAGAACACTACGTTCTCTGAATGCTGGGCTACTTGTGGTTCCTATAGTCTCTAAAAGTAGAACAGGAGCCAGAGCCTTCAGTTACCAAGCTCCTCTCCTGTGGAACCAGCTTCCATTTGTGGTTCGGGAGGCAGACACCCTCACCACATTCAAGAGTAGGCTTAAGACATTCCTCTTTGATAAAGCTTATAGTTAGGGCTGGATCAGGTGAGTCCTGAACCATCCCTTAGTTATGCTGCTATAGGCCTAGACTATCGGGGGGATATCCCATGGTGCACTGAGCTCCTCCCCTTCCTCTCTCTTTATGCACTCATTCATGTTCCATTAATGCATGTTACTAACTTCACTTCTTCCCCGGAGTTCTTGTGCTTTCTCGTCTCGCAGGTTCCTGGTGGAGCCTCCTGCCATGGTCCTGCTAGATTGCCATTGCCAATACTGTTGTTGCTGTGCACCTCTCTCTCTCTCTCGCTCTCACCCCAACTGGTCGAGACAGACGACCACCCACCTAGAGCCGGAGGATCTGTCCTAGGTTTCTGCCTTTTAACAGGCAGTGTTTCCTTGCCCTTGTCGCCAAGTGCTTGCTCATGGTGGTACTGTTGGGTCTCTGTAATTAATGTTAAAGAGTTCGGTCTAGACCTGCTCTATTTGAAAAGTGTCCTGAGATAATTTCTGTTATGAATTGGCGCTATACAAATAAAATTGAATTGAAAAATTTAACTGAATTGCTGGAAGATGAAGTCCGCATCCCCATAAAGCTGGTCCACTGAAGCAAGCATGAAGTGCTCTAAAATGTTGAGACAGCTGCGTTCATGCTGGACTTCATAAAGCACAGAGGACCAACACCAGCAGCTGACATGGATCCCCAAGTCATCACAGACTGGGGAAACTTAACACTGGACTTCATGCATCTTCCATTTTGCGCCTCTCTGGTCTTCCTCCAGACTCTGGGACCTTTGCTGCCAAATGAGATGCAAAACTTGCTCTCATCAGAAAAGAGGACTTTGGACCACTGGCCAACAGTCCAGTCTTTCTTCTCTCTAGCCCAGCTAAGGCGCCTCTGGCGTTGCTTGCTCGTGAGGAGCGGCTTGACAACAGGAATTCGACATTTGAAGCCCATGTCCAGCATCCGCCTGCGTGTCGTTTCTCTTGAAGCAGCAACTCAGGCCTGAGTCCACTCCTTATGAAGTTCCCCCACACTTTTGGCCCTTTCCTGACCATCTTCTCCAGGCTGCGGTCATCCCTCCGGCTTTTACACTGTTTTCTTCCACACTTCTGCCTTCCACTTAACTGTCCATTAATGTGCTTTGAGACAGCACTCTGAGAACACCCAGCTTCTTTTGCTATCACTTTTTGTGTCTTACCCACCTTGTGCAGGGAGTCAATGATGGTTTTCTGCACAACTGTGAGATCAGCAGTCTTCCCCATGATTGTGAATTCTTCTAAACCAAACAAGACACACCAAACAGACTTTTTAAAGGCTCAGGACCCTTTTGCAGGTGTTTTGGATTACTTACCTGATTAGTGTGTGACACTTTGAGCCTACAATACTGAAGCTTTTCACAGTATTCTAATTTTCTGAGTTTTTGGTTTTGACGTTTTATAAGCTGTAAATCATAAATCAGCAAAATTAATTCAATTCAATTCAATTCAATTTTATTTGTATAGCGCCAATTTATAACAGAAGTTATCTCAGGACACTTTTCAAATAGAGCAGGTCTAGACCGAACTCTTTAACATTAATTACAGAGACCCAACAGTACCACCATGAGCAAGCACTTGGCGACAAGGGCAAGGAAAAACTGCCTGTTAAAAGGCAGAAACCTAGGACAGATCCTCCGGCTCTAGGTGGGTGGTCGTCTGTCTCGACCAGTTGGGGTGAGAGAGAGAGAGAGAGAGAGAGAGAGAGAGAGAGAGAGAGAGAGAGAGAGAGAGAGAGAGAGGCGCGACAGACAGACAGACAGGTGCACAGCAACAACAGTATTGGCAATGGCAGTCAAGCAGGACCATGGCAGGAGGCTCCACCAGGATCCATGAGAACCTGCGAGACGAGAAAGCACAAGAACTCCGGGGAAGAAGTGAAGTTAGTAACATGCATTAAAGGGACATGAATGAGTGCAGAAAGAGAGAGGAAGAGAGTAGCTCAGTGCACCATGGGAAATCCCCCGATA